CACGCCTAGCTCAGAACCTGGTTCATGGCCAGTATTCAGTAAATGTTGGCTGAACTTAATTGAAATGTGAGATAATCACAGCCCTTTTATGTGCCATTCATTCATTCACCCATTCTTTCCCACGTGCCAGTTTCTAGGTAAGGCCCTGGGTCAGACAAATGGGGAAAACACAGGGATGTAGTAGCCTAGGCTCGCCTACAGTTTAATCAGAGACAAAAAGAGGAGAGAATGCCAGGCTGGGTGGTAGACATCTGGACTCTGCCGTGTGTGACCCCCAGGCAAGTTCCCTCTCTGCTCCCAACTGTAAAAGCACAGCATGGCCCTAGTAGGGTCATTTCTCACCTTAAATGGTAAGATTTTTTTTTGCAGTTTTTGGCCAGGTCTGGGTTTGAACCCGCTACCTCTAGCATATGGGGCTGGTGCCCTACTCCTTTGAGCCACAGGCATCGTCCAAATGGTAAGATTTTTAAGGCACTGGGACAGGTTGATCAAGGGGCTGCAAACTCACAAGCCAATAGGGGCCAGGCAAGGAAGAGGGAGCTGAGCATTGAATTGGTAAGGACACACCCCACAAAGGGTTCCCCCCTTGCAGGGGCACAAGTGCAGTCACCAACTCATTGGTCTTTTCCAGAGAAGCTAGAACTGGGGTGTGATGATGATGGAATATCCTAACTTTTCCGTCATTATGGAAGCCAGATGAGACTTTTCTGCTGGTTCATCCACAAATGACTTTTTGTTTTTTTTGGAGACAGTTTCACTTTGTCACCTTTGGTAGAGTGCTGTGGTGTCATAGCTCACAGCAACCTCAAACTCTTGGGCTCAGGTGATTAATTCTCTTGCCTCAGCCTCCCATGTAGCTGGGACTATAGGCACTCACTTCAACGCCCAGCTATTGTTTTAGAGATGAGATCTCACTCTGGCTCAGGCTATTCTCTAACTTGTGAGCTCAGGCAATCCACCTACCTCGGCCTCCCAGAGTGCTAGGATTACAGGCATGAGCAACTGTGCCCTCCCCCCACAAGTGACTTTTTGCAAGCACTGCCAGGGGTGCCATTGGCTTCGAGCCTTCTGACCTCTCGGCTCACAGTGAGAAGAAGCCTTGGGTTCAAAGTTTCATCCAAGACTTGGGGAAGGAAGTGGGATGAGAGGTCTGCTTGATAATTTCCTGTGAAGGGAGGCATCCCTCACAGCTCTCCCGAGAGACAATGGACATCTGATCACCATGGTCAGTGAGTGCCCACCTCCAAACCTATGACAACACTGCAAATACCAGTTTTACCTCAAAGTTCTTGAATAGCACAGGAATGGAAAAGGACAGCTATAGAAATCATTTGTACAGGCATGCGGTTTGGACCATAATAATCAAGCAAATATCAAAGTAAAGTAGGTTACATAATTTTTTTTGTTTGTTTCTCGGAGCGTATAAAAGTGACATTTCCACCATAGTCTATTAAGTGTAAGACATAATTAAGAATTATGTCTAAAATATGTAAATACCTTAATTTAAAAATACTTTATTCCTGATAATGCTAATGATCCCCTGATCCTTCAGCAAGTCATAACGTTTTGGCCGTGGAGGGTCTTGCCTCCATGATGATGTCCACTTACAGATCCGGTGGTGGTTGCTGAAGGTTGGGGTACTTGTGGCAATTTCTTAAAATAAGACAATAATGAAGTTTACTACATAAATTGACTTTTCATTTCACAAGAGATTTCTCTGTAGCATGTATTCTGTACCAGGAAGTTGTTAGCAATTTACCCACAGTAGAACTTTCAGAATTGGAATCAATTCTCTCAAACACAGCCACTGTTTTATCGACTAAGTCACGTAATATTCTAAATCCTTTGTTGTCAATTCAACACCATGTTCAGCATCTTCACCAGGAATAGATTCCATCTCAAGAAACCACTTCTTTGCTTATTCATAAGAAGCAACTTCTCATCCATTCAAGTTTTATCATGAGATGGCAGCAGTTCAGTCACACCTTCAGGCTCCACTTCTAATTTTAGTTCTCTTGCTATTTCCACTACATCTGCAGTTACTTCCTCCACTGAAGACTTGAACTCCTCAAAGTCATTTATTTATTTATTTTTCACTCTGTTGCCCTGGGTAGAGTGCCATGGCATCACAGCTCACAGTGACCTCAAACTCTTGGGCTTAAGCAATTCTCTGGCCTCAGCCTCCCGAGTAGCTGGGACTACAGGCACCTGCCACAACACCTGGCTATTTTTTGTTGTAGTTGTCATTGTTGTTTTTAGCAGGCCCAGGCCAGGTTCGAGCCTGCCAGCCCCAGTGTATGTGGCTGGCACCCTAGCCACTGAGCTACAGGCACCGAGCCCTCAAAGTCATTTACGAGAGTTGGAATCAACTTCTTCTAAACTCTTGTCTGTGTTGCTATTTTGACCTCCTACCATGAATCATAAATGTTCTTACTGGCACCTAGAGTGGTGAATTCTTCCCAGAAGGTTTTCAATTTACTTTGACTAGATCCCCTTTTTTTTTTTTTTTTTTGAGACAGAGCCTCAAGCTATCCTCCTGGGTAGAGTGCCGTGGCATCACAGCTCATAGCAACCTCCAACAACTCCTGGGCTCAAACGAGTCTCTTGCCTCCGCCTCCCAAGTAGCTGGGACCACAGGCGCCCGCCACAACACCCGGCTATTTTTTGGTTGCAGCTGTCATTGTTGTTTGGCAGGCCCGTGCTGGATTCAAACCTGCCACCTTAGATGTATGTGGCTGGTGCCTTAGCCACTTGAGCCACAGGCGCCGAGCCTAGATCCCAATTAAATTGGGCAATTTACTTTGCCCAATTCACTTTACATTTGCTATATCTATGGCAGCTATAGCTTTACAAAAATGTATTTCTTAAATAATAAGAAAGTCGAAATGACTCCTGGATGCACAGGCTCAGAATGGGGGTTGTGTTAGCCATGAACGCCACATCCCTCTTGTTGTATAGGTCTGTCAGAGCTTTTGGATGACCAAGTGCATTGTCGATGAGCAATGATGTTTTTAAATGAATCTTTTTTTCTGAGTCGTAGGTCTTAACAGTGGGCTTAAAAGATTCAGTAAACCATGCCGTAAACAGATACGCTGTTATCAAGACTTTGTTGTTCCATTTATAGAGCACAGGCAGAGTAGATTTAGCATAATTCTTAAGGGCCCTAAGATTTTCAGAATGGTAAGTGAGCATTGGTTTCAATTTAGGGGCTGTGCCCCTATCAAGAGAGTCAGCCTATCCTTTGAAGCTTTGAAGCCAAGCATTGATTTCTCCTCTAGCTGTGTAAGTCCTAGGTGTCATCGTCTTCCAGTAGGAGACTGTTTCTTGTACACTGAAAATCTGTTTGGTGTGTTCACATTCGTCCTCTCAGCTGGGTCATCTGTATACCTCACTGCAGCTTCTACATCAGCCCTTGCCGCTCTACTTACTTTTGTGTTGGAGACAGCCTCTTTCCTTAACCCCCATGAACCAATTTCCACTAGCTTCAGGCTTTTCTTCTGTGGGTTCCTCTTTCAGCCTTCATATAATTGAAGAGAACCAGGGCCTTACTCTGGATTAGGCTCTGGCTTAAGGAATTGTTGTGGCTGGTTTGATCTTCTGTCCAGACCTCCCTATCAGCAGTAAGGCTGTTTTGCTTTCTTACCATTTGTATGTCCACCGGAGTAACACTTTTAATTTCCTTCAAGAACTTTTCCTTTGCATTCACAACTTTGCTAACTGTTTGACACAGGAGGTTTAGCTTTAGGCCTGTCTCAGCTTTTGGCATTCCTCCCTCCATAAGTTTCATCATTTCTAGCTTCAGATGTGAAGCGAGAGATGTGTGACTTTTCCTTTCCCCTGAGCACCTAGAGGCCATTGTAGAGTTAGTAATTGTCCTAATTTCAATATTGTTGTGTCTCAGGAAATAGGAAAACCCAAGGAGGGGAATAGCTGTTCAGTGGAAGCGTCAAAACATGCACAACATTTACTGATTAAGTTTGCCGCCTGACACTGATGCAGTTCACGGTGCCTCAAAACGGTGACAATAGTAACATCACTGATCAAGGACTACGCATCTCTATAACAGATATAATAAAATACCACGAGAATTTCCGAGATGTGACAGTGAGGCATGAAGTGAGCACGTGCTGTTAGAAAAATGGCACCAGAAGACTTGCTTGGGGCAGGGCGGCCACAAACCTTCAATTTGAAAAAAACACAGTGTCTGCAAGGCTCAATAAAGGGGAGCGCAATGAAACAAGGTGTGCCTGTGTTTAGCTTGAAATATAACGTGTGGATTGGATTCCACCTTAATAGAAGTATTTACCGAGCCTACTATGTTCAGAGTTCTGGGAGTCTAGAAGAAATTAATCCCCACCCTTAAAGAGATTATGCCCCATCTTATTCACTTGAAGTCAACTCTGTTTATTGAGCTCCTGTCTGGGGCTCGCTGGGGGTGGGATAAGGAAGAGAAGCTGAGTTAGCCAGCCTCTGCCCCCAGGGCCTGACAGCCTGTTAAGGAAAAGAGCTGTATACAGAAACGACTCTAAGTCTGGCCATAGTAACAGCTCTAATACAAAGTCAAACAGCATCCACCTGTGAACGGAATGTTTCCAGAATTTGCACATTTGCTTAGGCTGCTATTTCAATTACTTTCCTTTATAAGCAGTAGGAGAGGCAACCTTGGTGTTCCCCAAGCTGGCCGGGAGGTAGGGGGGATGATGCTTGAGATGAACGCAAGATGACAGACATTGCACAAAGTGGACAGTCGAGAGTCAACCCTGAAGCCATCTCTCCCTCTGACCTGGCAGCTTTCTCACGACCATTCTTTTCTCTTCTTCCGTCTTTGTCCCTTCCGTGTGCCCCCTCTTCCAACACCCTCACCTGCTTCTCCCCGCCTCTGTCTGTCTCTGTCCCTCCCTGCCTGGCTCATGCCGAGGGCAGGCAGCTCTGTCAGCCTCCTCGCAGTGGTAGTTATTGTGTGTGGCGTGGCCCTGGTGGCAGTTTTTCTCTTTCTCTTTTGGAAGCTGTGCTGGATGCCCTGGAGGAACAAGGAGACCTCCAGTCCCTCCTCTGCTAACCCCACCTTGGAGGCCCTCCAGAGCCCCAGCTCCAGAGGCACCATGGCAGACAAGCTGAAGGACCCAAGCGCCCTGGGCTTCTTGGAGGCGGCTGTGAAGATCAGCCACACGTCCCCAGACATCCCAGCCGAGGTGCAGATGTCGGTGAAGGAGCACATCATGCGTCACACGCGGCTGCAGCGACAAACCACAGAGCCAGCGTCATCCACCAGGTGAGGCGTGGACCCTTCCCTAACACCATCCACCCATATCCAAACTACCCTGTTTAATACAATCATGAGATTCCAGCCTGGGAAGATCAGAGACAGAAAGAATAACACATATCCTTTGACTGAAAAATATGTCAGATGATGTGATCTATGATGGGCGATCCACTAGGAAGTGGCCATGGGGAAAGAGTTCACGAAAGGAAAACCTTTGAGGTGTGTGATGTGCACTTAGGATGCGTGTGGTGTGGGAGGAATGGGAGAGAAGTGGAAGGGAGTGTTGGGTGTTTGGAAGGAAAGGCTTCAGGCAGAGAGAAGAGAATATGCAAAGGCTCAGAGGCACAAAAGTTCATGGTGTGCTCGGGGATGTGCTGGTGAAGCCTCATAGCTGGAGTCTGCCGCGTGGGGAGATGAGGCGAGAGTCCCAGTAGCTGGACGATGAAGATTCTTTTAAAACTTTTCAAGTTCTGTGCATGACAGCAGCTGTACATATGTCATCCTTGAACTGAAAACAGCAACAGGAAGCACATCACGACAAAACCCCGCACTAAATTCAGAAACAGCATTGTATTAACGCAAAACTTAGGGCCCTGATGGATTCCCGGGTCCCTGCAATATCTCTCCAGGCTCCCAGGGGACCAACAAAAGGAAAGCAGGCCCCGTCTTCAGACTGGAGACGGGGAGTGAAAGAACTTGGGATCACATTGACAGAGGTTGGCTTTGGGGCTGTTGCTTACCTTCCCTGAGCCTCACTTTTCCCAACTGTAAAATAGGGCTAATAACTTTTATAAGGTTGTTGTGCGGAGCCAGTGATAGAATCCATGTGATGACAAGAGCTGACATGTAATGTCATTTATTATACACCTGACCCTGAACTAAGTACTTTACGTGCTTTAGTTCACTTCACCCGCACAGCAGTCCTATGCAATTGCTATTTTTATAGTACAGGAAGATTGAATAACATGCCCAAGATCATATAGGCAGAAAGTGGCAGCGCCAGAATTAACTGATGCAATCTGGACTTTGAAGCCCAGGCTTTTGACCACTCCACTGCCTGCCATATAGCAAGTCCTCAATAAATGGTGGTAGGGTGATGCTGGTGATGAAGGGAGTGCCACACTGAGGGTAAGACAAGATGGTCATCTCCCTGAGGGAATTTATGGCTTAATGAGGAAATTAGCGTCAAGTCTCCTAGGAAAGAAACCTAGAAAGCAAGTAACAGAAAAGCAGGAAGAATGATGATAGCAATGGCTAACATTTATTGAGCTTTCTCTGTACCAGGCACCATTCCAGCTTCTTTACATATATTAAGACATATAATGCTCTCAACACCCTTGCACGCAGAGCACGTGCAAAGGAAAAATGGGCTCAACCAAGGATAGGATGAACCAGGGTCGCCAGCACTGCCCTCCCCCGACCATGCTCTCTCTGTCCCCTCCTGCCCTCCACCAGGCACACGTCCTTCAAGCGCCACCTGCCTCGGCAGATGCACGTCTCCAGCGTAGATTACGGCAATGAGCTGCCGCCGGCAGCCGAGCAGCCCACCAGCATCGGCCGCATCAAGCCTGAGCTGTACAAGCAGAAGTCAGTGGATGGGGACGACGCCAAGTCCGAGGCCACCAAGAGCTGCGGGAAGATCAACTTCAGCCTGCGCTACGACTATGAGACCGAGACCCTGATCGTGCGCATCCTGAAGGCCTTCGACCTTCCTGCCAAGGACTTCTGTGGAAGCTCCGACCCTTACGTCAAGATCTACCTCCTGCCCGACCGCAAGTGCAAGCTGCAGACCCGGGTGCACCGCAAGACCCTGAACCCCACCTTTGACGAGAACTTCCACTTCCCTGTGCCCTACGAGGAGCTGGCTGACCGCAAGCTGCACCTCAGCGTCTTCGACTTCGACCGCTTCTCCCGCCACGACATGATCGGTGAGGTCATCCTGGACAACCTCTTTGAGGCCTCTGACCTGTCCCGGGAGACTTCCATCTGGAAGGACATCCAGTATGCCACGACTGTGAGTACGCTCTGTTCCCTTGGCTTCTAGAGAATTTGCAGTTCTGAGTCAGGTGGGACGTGTCCCCAGCCCCTTCCCCCCTAGAGACAAATAGGTCTTTGTCCTTTAGGATGTGAAGAGGGATTCTGGAAACTGCCTGATGGCCTTGCCTGCCCTGGGAAGGTCCTTGCACTCTGCCCCTGGTTGGGGTGGTAGACAGCAGAGCTTCCATGGGGATGGGAAGGGAAGGGAATTTTATCCATGACTTTTTTTGTTGGGTTTTTGGTGGTTTTGTTTTGAGACAGAATCTCACTCTGTCACTCTTGGTAGAGTGCTATGGTGTCATCACAGCTCACAGCAACCAAACTCTGAGTTCAAGCAATCATGCCTCAGCCTCCCTAGTAGCTAGGACTACAGGTGCCCACCACAACACCCAGCTAATTTTTTCTATTTTTAATAGAGACAGGGTCTCGCTCTTGCACTTGAGGCTGGTCTCAAACTCCTAAGCTCAAGGGATCCTCCCACCTCAGCCTTCCAGAATGCTAGGTATACAGGTGTGAGCCATAACGCCTGGGCTATCTGGGGCTTCTGAGTGGCTGTTCTGAGGTGGTTCTTCCTATCTACTGGGCCTCAGTTTTGCTGCCTATGAAATTATGCTACCTGTCCCTTTGCTCACGGGTAAGGGTTGGGCCAGGCCTGTGGACTGAATCAGACAGCAACATCTCCTGTGCTGTTAGAAGCTTTGAAAAGACCAAGGTCAAGCGATACCAATCAGGATGAACTAAGCTATGCTTCAGCAACACTCTTAGGATTTTGTGGATTAAGACAATTGAAGTTTATGTTTTGTTTATTTTACGTGAGCTCTGCAGCTTGGCTGGGGGCCCTACTCCACCCAGTACCCAGGGATCCAAGCCAACAGAGGCTCCATGTGGACACGGGCTCCCAGAGTTGAGTAAACATCAGGGGAAGAGGATGTGACATATCATGTGCTATTTCTTAAAGCTGCCATGCCCAAGCCACCCATGTCTCTTCTACTCACATTTCATTAGCCAAAGCAAGACACATTGCAACTACTACTATCAAGGGGCAGGGGCTGAACAATCCTGCCACGTGCCCAGAAGGACATCTGCAGACCTAATGACCTAACAACACCACCAACACACTGCAGAGTCCCTTCTCTTAGGCTTTGTCTTCCTGGTGCAGACTGGGGATGGGGGAGGCTGTCCCAGAGGGAGATGCAGCTATTCCACACATGAGAGCTGAGCTGGTCACGACCAACTAGAATTAACCAGGGACAGTTTCAAAGAGCAAAGACTCAGGCTGGCTTTGAAGAGAAGGGAGGGCAGATTTGGCAGAGAGGGTACGTCCAGAGCCCTTTGGTTTGGCGTAGATGATGTGTGTAGCCCGTGGGGTAGAGAAAGCTGTGTAACTGTGGCCCGCAGGAGTAGCTGGTGTACCTCTCTCTAAGCCCATCTAACCAACGAGGAGCTCACAGGGCTGTTTCCCCTAAGCCCCAGGGGCCTCATGTCTAACCGGTTGAGTCTTCCCGGGTATTTCTTGCACCATATCTGTCAGAGGTGACCCACTCTGCCTGCAGACCCCCTTTGGACAGGTAGTACTCAATTATCCCTGGGTTGAATTTTTGAGGAGAGAGCCTTGGAAAATTAGCCCGCCCTGGTGGGCAAAGGGTACAAATCTTGATTTGTTCAAAAAGAGAGAGCTTGGTGGGGTCCACTTCCATCCTAGGAAAGGTCTCTGGGACACCCCATTGTCATAGCTCATGCTGACTTTGACCAGTCAAGTGACATGTCTCAATGCCACCCTACCTGTGCATTCCTGAAATGCCATCCCTAAGAACAGCACGAGCAGCCGGCCAGCAGACGGGGCGGGCAGGGCAGACGGGGCGGGCAGACGGGGCGGGCAGACGGGGCGGGCAGACGGGGTGGATCAGAACAGCAGCTGTGCGCCACCCCAGGCCCAGAAGCTCCACTCTATAAATCACTGTGAAGTTTACATCTGGTGTAGCTTGTCCCTTGTGGTCTCATAAGGCAGCAGTTTCATTATGGTGGCTGTGTAGGTAGCAAAAAGCAACTCTGTCCTCACAGTGAGGCCATGGCCCAGATAGGCAGGTGAGGACCAGAGTCTATGGGAAACAGAGCTCAGCTCAGCCCTCCTAGGAGCCTCTTTGCTTCCTGCCAGAGTCCCCACCTTCCTATCCTGTGCCTTTAGCTTCAGACCTAAGTTCCAAGATGGAAATTTTCAGACCCTAGTGCTGCTGTGGATCTCCCTGCCCCAGTCCCATGCCCACTCCGAGCCCAGCTTCCCAAAGAGGCAGATCAACCCAAGAGCACCACACAAATCACCTCACCCCCATCATCCTCAGTCAATATGCCCATAGTCTTCCTCCATCTCTTCCTCCTAGGAACACTGGGCCAGTCATAGGGTGGGGGGTGGTGAGGGTAAGGCTGGGATAGAAAATCGCCTCTTTGACAAAAGCATAATCTAATCACAGAGACAAGCAATGTCCTCGCAGTCTCTGGCAATGCAGGGCAGCCAGTGATACGTACTGTCTGCAGTTACAAGATCCCTGAGCATTAGACAGCTGGGAAGGAGATGAGCAGAATTAAACTAGGTGGGGAAGGACTTGGACAGATAACTCGATAGGCTCAGAGGAAGAGGAAGCATTCTAGCCAGGAGCAGAGGGAGTCCAGGCCCAGGCGTTTCCAAAGCTGCAGAGCTGAGGACCATGCTCAGACACCTGGCCTCACTCATAGAGCTGGACAGTCCTCTTCTGGTGAGTCCCCTGGGTCCCTACACCCTCAGGCGTGGTTCTCAGGTGCAGGCTCATCACCCTGGCAAGCAAGAACTCAAGCAAAGGAGAGGGAAGAGATGCAGGAGAGCTGGTGTGTTTACCTTTTGTATGGTGCTGACTACAAAATTTAATTATTTGGGGGCCAGGGAGTCCCAAGTCACAGTCAGAGCAGTCCATGTATATGAAATCAATCCTGTGGCTGGCGCAGGCAGGGGAAGTACAGATGAGCACAGTTGACAGTGGGCTCCTGTCTCTCCCACGTGCCAGATTCCATTCCCAGAGCTGCCCTTTGGACCTGAGCTAAGGACCCCCGGCAGCTCCCCTGCCTGAACTTCCTGCCTTTGCCCACCAGGTTCCTTCTGTCAGGCAGGCCTGTCCCCCTTCTCTGCCTGGCCCAAACCAATCCACCGTTCAGAGCCTGCCCAAAGCTGTCCTCTTCATGGCCTTCCGGTTTCACAGCAACCCGATATATTCTCCGGGTCCCTCAGTTATGTCCTGAATCACATTCTGTCTTGTAAAGGCCCCCAACGGCTCGGGAATGCCTATGTCCTGCATTGGACTTTCTCTTATATTTTCCCTCAGGGCTGAGTGTAGGAACCTGGCGTATTCATGTCATGGATAAGTGACCAATGGCTTACTTAATTTAATTAAAACTTATGTCAACACCCAAGGAAAGGATTATTAAAGAAGCAGTTGGAGTTGGGGGTTGGGGGGCCAGTTAACCTGGGACGGCTTCCTGGAAGAGAAGCCTAAGCAGTATTTTGAAAATGGGTATTGCCAACTTGGTGAGGAGAGACCAGTCTGGGCATCCATTCAGGGGTGTGAATGAAATAGACGGTTTGAGTCTGGGGTGGTCAAGAATAACCAGTCAGATCAGGTACTCTGGACCAAAGCAGAGGGTGACCCACAGGCTGTGCAGAAGGAGAGGGGTGGTGAGAAAGGGGCCTCAGGAGCCTGCTCTGTGGTCACACTAAGTGTAGTGAATGGTGCCCCTGTTGTTTTGAAAGAGCCACGTCTGAAGCATTTTTCTGTTGTTTTCTCACAGCCACTGAACCTGAGCTTCAGGGCTATGAAGGGGAGGTACACACCCGAGGAGTGTAGCTCTTTGTTAATGGCAAATCTTAAGCCACATGGACACTCACTCCCCCCAGGCTGGGTTGTTCTGAAGAGAAGTCTGCCTGCCCTGTGCCCCACTGGCTGGAGGGCAGCTAGAGGCCTCTGGGATTCCACTGAATCAAGCAACATAGGCCTAGGAGGGAAATCTTGGGAGTTCATTGCATCCATTCTAGCCCTGGACAGGGCTGCCCCAAGCTCCACTGCCTTTCCTCCTGCCTGGCTTGCCTAAGGGCCCCTGCTGGTGTCCGAAGCATTCACAGGGATTTGCCACTGTGTATCCAGCCAGAGCTTCAACTGGCGAAAATCACCCTGCTCTTCCGTCCCCCATCTCCTGCCCCCAGTCTCATTATTTCTATATAAAGCTGTAGATTTATCATTATAATAGAGCTGCCGTCACCAGGGTTTGCTAACATCTCTGTAATCTTGTAGTTATTGCTACAGAGGCCTCAGACCTCAGTGCACACAACTATTCCCTTCACTGTACCGGCTCCTTCGCTGCAGTGGGAAGCGAAGGCTGTAATTGGGGCCATAAATATGTGCTGTGCTTGGTGCACTAATGGACTCGGTCATCTTCCTGCCTCACTAGGTCCCCACCAGGTCAGAGTGTGCTGTGTTCGTGTATGTCTATGTGTGTGCCTGTGAGTGAGTGTGCCTGCGTGCATTTGTGCATGTGTGCATGTGTTTGGGGGGGTGACGGAGGACACCATATACTTCCAGGCGCCTGGATGTAGGTCTGCGGGGGAGAAGAGAGGATATATGTCATTAAATAGCCACTCCCCTGGGAATGGGCAGAGCTGTATAGAAAGAAAGAGCTCAGGCCTTGGTGCCAAACAAACCTGTGTTGTATTCTAGTTTCTATATTTTCTAGCTTTCAAACCTTGAGACGTTATCCTAACTGGGTCTCAGTTTTAAGATCAGCAAAATGGGGATAATAATGGCAGCCAGCTCCTCATGGTATCACATGTAGCAAGTGAAACAAAACATGAGCTACCTAGAGTGGCCCCGACCCAGAGCAGTCTGCCAAGCCCTGGTCCCCTGCTGCCCGCCTGCTGGCTCAGCCTGGGGGTCACCTCTGTACCACTCCGGGGTTCCA